ATAATCATAACCATAGCCTTGAATTATAACACTTTACGTAAAAGATTCAAGTTTAATTTATATTAAGAATTATGAGAATGTGTTCGAGCTCTTTAAGTTTGATACTATTAAGAATTTTGAGAAAATTTTATATTAAAAAAGGTATACTAAGGATCATTTTATTTATTACTAATTAACTCTATGCATTACTTTTTTACAATTTTAACTTCTTCTGTTTTTTATGTGATAGAAGACTTTACAGGAGTTGGGATTGATCTTGATTCAATAATCTTAAACCTATTTAAGTCGTATTAAAAAATAAATCTTAAACTTATCAAATTCAAAATCAAATATGACTTATTTGTAACAGAAGCTTAGTTTTTTTTTTTTTTTTTGTAGGTTGTGGTTCATATATGACCTACTTATCAACTTTATATACTCTATTTTTTCTTTCTTGTAATGGGATTTACCCTTTCTTTTCTTTCTTGATTCGTTTGGTTACATGGAAGTAATTGGACTCCAAACTTTCATTATAATGAAACAAGATGATCTACCAATTTGTGAACAAACAGCATAGTATTTTTTTCAGTTCTACTACGGTAGGGGAATGGGGACTTGATACTTAAAATTGAACACCCAATTCATAGATACAATTTATAAAATGAATAAGTACAATTTGTGACATGCTTTATATATATATATATATTCATATTATTATTTATATATTTTAATAAAATAGTGCTTAAAGGTGCTATATATTGTGACGAATAGGCACCGAACCAAAAGTTAATGTTAGAAGGATAAAATTTAAAAATTTTTTGTGAGTTATTTATCAATTTATATCAATTTTTATATCAATTATTAATTTTATACACATACCACTTATAATATTCACATTAAATTTTAAATTAATTAGGTATATTTAACTTGTTTTTTAAAAGCATATAATTTAAAATCATTAAATAACTAATATAAAAATATAGTTTATTATCTTTATAAAGTTACATATATCAAATTAAATTCTAAATTTAAAACATATTTACATAAATAAAATGGATTCAACCATTAGTCTAATAAAATATTAATTATATAAATAAAAATTATATATAACCAGTATAATTACTCATATAAGTTATATTTAATATAATTAGATTTAGAATATTTTTTATAGTTGTTGATGAGAACCCCAAGAAAACTCGAGTGAAGAACTTCCACAACAAACCCTTCCAAACCTACAGGTGCAGGTGCAAGTGATATTGGGAAAGGTACGACGGATGGTGAATAGGTTAATTGAACCCATGCAAGAGCAATTGGAAACGTTGTAATTGGAGAATAGGAGATAGCAACAAAATTCTCTCGCTCGACCACCATCTAGGCAAATGCAGCAAAGAGAACATTGGGGTGACATGGAAGAATAAGAGGACTTTGTTGTACATGAAGATTTGTTGGTGGCAAGGAGGGCTTTAAGTGTGCAAGCAAAGGATCTGGATAAAGCGCAACGAGAGAACATATTTCACATTAAATGCTATGTCAAAGATAAGATATGCAGTGTGATTATTGAGTTTTTCAATGAAAAATTGATTGGTGCATCACTTGATTTGTGGTAGATGTGTCACATGCAGGCAAACAAAATCCCAAGTGCAATCCCATGGTTTGTGTACGCTACCACCTGGTACATATGGAGTCATTTTAATTCTCATCAGTTGTTCTTATTTAGATAAAATTAATGTCTTTACCAAAATTACCTATAAATGATCTCTTCATCTAAGTTATAAAAATTTCTTTTATATTTGAATAGTTCTTATAATTCAAATTTCAAAAATAAATTTTATAAAAAACAAAAATATTTATGCCATACTTAATATTTTTCAAAAATTTAACGGCAACTACCTCCTTTTTCCTATGCTTGCTCCATCCTGAAGACGAAGAAAAATAGAATAAAAGTAATATTTAATATTTATGAGTTTATATAATCCTATGTACAAAAGTCATAATTACTTAATTAATAATAAAAATAATATATAATTTAAATTATATTAAATTATATGATATTAATCATTTCTTTTATTATTTAATATTTCCTATTTTCCCAACCGTACGATATGTAAAGTTGGAGGCTCATAAATAACAGTACTTCACATTTACTCGGTTACTCCGCTCCTAATTAATTACACTGGCAATAAAAACAAGAATTTTGGATTATTTATTTATTTATTTATAAATTAATGATTTCGCACGCGCTCCCAAGAGAGAGTAGCGAAACTAAAACAGAAACACGGACTTGGGGACAGCACAACAAATTCCTCCTCCATTCCCCACCTTCACGTGACGCTCTGCGCAATCTCAATAGCATTCCAGCTGCTCCGCAACACTCACACACTCTCCCACTCCAAATATTCACAGAAATGAGAACCCACCGCACTAACTCCAAGAATGTCTAGACCCTTCATTCTCCTCCTCTTCCTCTGCTTCTCCCTCACCTTCTCCGCCCCCATTACTTACCCGCCGCCGACCAACCTCCTCCTCCCCAGCGACGCTGTTTATCTCCTTTCCTTCAAGGCCAAAGCCGACCTCGGCAACAAGCTTCTTTTCGCTCTCAACGAGCGCTTCGACTACTGCCAGTGGCAGGGCGTTAAGTGCGCCCAGGGCCGCGTCGTTCGTGTCGTCCTTCCCAGTTTCGGCCTCCGCGGTACCTTTCCCGCCAACTCTCTCTCCCGACTCGACCAGTTACGTGCTCTTAGTCTCCGTAACAACTCCCTCTCTGGCCCCATCCCTGACCTGTCCTCTCTTTTCAATCTTAAATCTCTGTTTCTGGACCAGAACAGTTTCTCTGGAACTTTTCCTTCGTCGATTCTGCTTCTCCACCGCTTAACTTCTCTTGATCTTTCGTTTAATAATTTGACCGGTCGGATTCCCGCGGAGTTAGCCGGATTGGCTAGATTGAACTCGCTCCGGCTGGAATGGAACCAGTTTAACGGAACAGTGCCGCCGCTGAACCAGTCTTTTCTGGTTATTTTCAATGTTTCGGGGAACAATCTCACCGGACTGATACCGGTAACCACTACTTTGTCGCGGTTCAATTCGACGGCGTTCTCATTGAACCCCGGTTTGTGCGGCGAGATCATCAATAAGGTGTGCCCTTCGCGTGCTCCGTTCTTCGGACCACCCAATGATTCATCTTCCCCTGCCGCGCCGTCCGGGCAAAATGTGCAGTCGCAAGGCGGCGGCGGCATCATGGTTATTTCTGCGCCGTCACCGAAGAAGAATCAAAAGAAGACCGGCGTGATTCTTGGATTTACGATCGGCGTTGCTGTACTAGTCGCTTCCGTTTTGTTAGCCCTGGCTTTTCTGAGGAAACGGAGCAGTAAACCAGATTCAAAAGAAGCGAAGCCGCCATCTCTTGCGGCTTCTGATCCTTATCAAACAAATTCAAGAATGGAATCTCAAATTGAAGAGAACAAGAACAAGGAATTTCAAGTCAAAGCGAGCACGACCGAAGCACCAGAGGTTCACAAAGCGCGAAAGAGTGGGAATCTGGTGTTTTCCACCGGAGAAGCGGAGGTCTACACGCTGGAGCAGCTAATGAGAGCTTCCGCCGAACTACTAGGAAGGGGAACCATAGGGACTACATACAAGGCAGTGCTGGATAACCGGCTGGTTCTGACGGTGAAGAGACTCGACGCCGGTAAGACGGCGATCACTAGCAGTGAAGAGTTTGAGCAACACATGGATACCGTCGGCGCGTTCCGGCACCCTAATTTGGTACAAATTAGAGCTTATTTTCAGTCTAAAGGAGAGCGGCTCGTTATCTACGATTATCAACCAAACGGCAGTCTCTTCAACCTCATTCACGGTATGTACATTGTTTCCGCTCTGCACATTCCTTCCTTCCCGAGTTTACTCACTGAGTCGTCAATTTTGACTCAGTTAAAGCAGATTTCGTAATGTTAGCTTTTTTTTTTTTTTGTTTTTGGGGAAAAACTGTAGACCTTTTGGCAGGATTCAAAACATGTCATAGAGTCTATATAGGACGGAATCTAGGCTGTAATGTTTTGGTCTCTATAGAGGATGATGCATGGTTGTTTCTTTACGTGTCTTTATGTTATTGGTTTGTGTGTCCGACGTGGCCCTATATTGGGTTTATTGGATTGGTAATGGTAAAAGCTGTGGCAACGGATTCCGGCTTTCTGCCCTGATCCCGAGAATTACTTGGGATGTTCTTAAGTCTAAAAAGTATGTATGAAACTTTAGCAGTGAAATTTCTGACATTTGACTTTTGTGTAGAAGTAATTCCTCTATTTATGGTATGTGATTAGTGATAATTGTTTCATGATTAAGGGTTCTGTCTTGTTGATATATGTATCTGAATTCTGAAATAATTTCTGTTGCTTGATTCATCAAAATGTTGGTTTTTTCCTTTTTTTCTAACTGGCTTTGGGATTATGAACAGGTTCAAGATCAACGAGGGCGAAACCTTTGCATTGGACATCCTGTTTGAAGATAGCAGAAGATGTAGCACAAGGCCTTGCTTACATCCACCAGGCATCAAAGCTTGTCCATGGCAACCTGAAATCCTCCAACGTGCTCCTCGGGGCTGATTTTGAGGCCTGTCTCACGGACTACTGCCTAGCTGTCCTCGCCAACTCTTCTTCTGTTGAAGATCCTGACTCTGCCGCCTATAGAGCCCCAGAGGCACGCAAGTCCAGCCGCAGAGCCACCCCGAAGTCCGACGTTTATGCTTTTGGCGTTCTCTTATTAGAGCTTTTAACGGGTAGGCATCCATCGCAACATCCAGTCCTTGTGCCCCATGACTTGTTGGACTGGGTTAGAACTATGAGAGAGGATGGCAGTGGGGATTATAACCGGCTTGGAATGCTCACCGAGGTTGCCAGTGTTTGCAGTCTAACATCACCGGAACAGAGGCCGGCAATGTGGCAAGTGCTAAAGATGATACAAGAGATAAAGGAGAGAGCATTGATGGAGGAGAGCGCAATAGTTGGGTATTCATAGCATTTTGTCAAAAATTAACGTGCTACCGATTCAAGAATGGCATACCTTTTTCCCGATTTAGCTTTTGGCTACGACCCAGATGCATAGAAGAGAAGTGAATTAGAGGACTTCTTCAACTTTTTAAGTTCTTTTCTGTGGCCAACTTTTCAAACCATGTGTTCAAGAAAAAGGAAAAAAGGGAAAACTATTATAGCAGAAACAACTGTTAAGAGTCTGAGAACAGATTAGCAGCTTCAATAAAATAACAATATTATATACAACGGTTATTTGGAATGTTGATCATGCACAAAATTTTGATTTTGCAGGAGAAGAAATTCCTGTCTTTTATCCCGAAGAAAGAGCAATGAATGCAACATGACACAGCAGCAGAAGGAATACAATGTACTGTAAACAACACCATGAGCCTCAGCATCCACACTTGCAACCACATGTCTTGTCACCCGTTAGTTATTTCAGAACATTCAAGGCCTGCCTGAGAACATGGTTTGATGTAAAAACTTGCCCATAGAATCCAGCCAGTAATAGGACCATGCAAAGAAACTAACCTCCTCTTCCTATATTTACAACATGCCTGCTTCATGAAAAAATAATAATAATAATAAAAGAAGAAGATTGTAAGAGAAAGTTTTCATAATAAGAGTTAACTTCGTACTGCAGCTATAGTTGGTTGGTTAGGGGAAAAAACTCAAATGACCAAGTGAACATTGTCTCTGAACTCTGAAGACAGATCTAATAGGGTAAAAGTAAATTTTAATTGTTTCTAAAAAATCAATGACAAAAGGGGAATTACCTGCATTCTTGTTCTCAGTTGAGCCATGGGTCAGACCATATATGCCGGTCAGGGTGTATACACAGGATAAAGAAAGCCAGTGACTGTGAGGATATCATATCATTTCACTTGGAGCTTGTACACGAGGCCTTGACCTCATGATTGTCTCATCACTGTGTTTAATCCATTCTGAGAGTTTCCATGGTTTCTGCCACTTCCACTTGAACTGAAGAAGCCACTGGTGATGACTTCTCTTCCACCTCCACAGCTTTCCAGTTTGTCCTAAGGTTGCCAATTTCTTCATTGACAACTGTCCGACTGGCACCATCTGCACCACAACCATCATAGTTTCTTGATCAAAGAGGACACCACAATCAAAAAGACAGCATAGGATAGGAAATTTTACCTTTCTTGTCTGATCTATAAATGCTGCTGACTCTCTAACAGACCCATTAACAATGCCAGGTGAAAACTTAAGTTGCTTTGGGGCTGGAAGTGAAATCGGAGAAAGAGGGCCACTCAAATCATCTGCTAAGTGTTTTGATGAACTGCGGGAGTGCCCCTGTTGAATTCCATAATGAAGGATTACTGTCATTAACTAAAACCAAGTATTCTAAAGTTTCCTAGGGTGAGATTATGAAGGTTATTTCCTTCATAGATCCCAAAAGATCATCTAAGCATATCCAGAAAAGGACTATGAAACTCTTGTCATTGAGAGTACTTCCATACATCATTCAGATTTATGAAATAGACTCAAAATCTTACTTAAACACAAAAATATCAACAAAAATGAAAGATACTGACTCTATTGTGCAAGGTTTCTTACCGAAGTTGCAGTAGCCAAGGCAATTGCTACAGCTTGTTCCCTCATTTTTTGCTCCTTCACAAGTTCCTTTCTCTTGATCTCACTTTGCCATAGAAGAGCTTTTAGCTCATTAAGTTGCTCTTTGAAGTCCTTAAGTTCCATATCTTTTTCCCACAACTGGCACCTGCTTACAAGGATTCCATTGGTCTTAACAATCAAATGAGAAATCATAAATCTGTGTGTGCATAAAGGTTGTCTTATTTAAATATAATTTCCAGTTAAAAGAGATACAAATAAAATAAGTCCAGTTGGGAGAGGACAAATCAAAATGGATTATTCAGATTCGAACTGTCAAAAAGCACCTTGCATCAGCAGTAGCATTAAACATATACTGAAGCAAGTTCTTAGCATCAGCCATTGACCGCACTTGATTCCACCTCCCACGACCAACTAAAGAGCGCTCCCTTTCTTCTGCATCTGAAAGCTGTGAAGCCATTGCCATGAGGGCATTTGAAGACATGTTCAGCATGTTCTCAAGGGAAACTACTCTTGCCATTCTCGCATTTGGCGAAAGAGATGACAATCTAATTAATTGGAAAACATAAAACATGTTAGGACACAAAAATTGCTACATGTTACAAATCTTTAACACTGCTATTGCTATTTGCTTGCTTATTCATAAGAAGTATCATAAGATGCACTGTTAAGTTATGATCCCAACAATTTCACTTAGACAAGTACGTACATGATATTTGCAGTGAAAGATAAAATCATATTATATACCGTGAATGTCCATTCTTCAATCTCTGAGGACTCTCCCCATTTGAAGACAGCTCATCCACTTGTTTCATTATGGTTAACTCCTCTGACAGAGCAGCTTGCCTGTGTATCAATACAAATATCAAATTATCAAATGGCTAAAACAGTTTATAAGGGGAAAAACATAAGACTTACACTTGGCTTTGTTTCTCATATTCATAACGAACTTCGTGCACATTAACCATGACTTCCAGCTCATTATCAAGCCACTTTTGCAGAGATTTTTCATTGCTCTAAAGATGAAAAAATCAATTTGAAAATTACTCCAACATTAAATAAGAAGCTAGACAACACCAAAAGTAATCAATCTCTGCCCTCAAGTAGCTGAAGGTTGGACATAGAAACTGCCCAGACCCCCTTTAAATCAGGTTGAAATAGAGCACAAACTCAACCAGTCCCATTTGCTTCTACATGGTAAAAATTAAAAAAATATAGTTTCTAAAATAATTTGTTTTTCTATCACTGATACAGACTGGGAGCCAGCCTGAATTCAACCAATCTAGAGAATGGGCTCCATTTCAACAGAAATAACTACCCAATTAACATATAGCTCTAGAAAGAAATGCTTAAGCACAAATCACTTACCTGCCCACTTGGTGCATGTCCATTGGCATTTACTGAAGAGATTACAAAAAATTAGTAACACAAGAAAAGAAATAATGAGGCAACGATGGATTAATTTCACCAACAATATCTACCCATATTTTCACGTGTATTAGACTTGCGGGCTTCCAGCAACTCCTTCAGCCTTTTAGTAGCCATTGCAGCTTCTTCAGTCTTTCTTTGAAGAACCTGTAAGGAAAAAGTAACCATTGGTCTAGAATTCAGAAAATCCTAAATAGCTCAGCATGAGGGCTGGGGAGTAGGGAAAGTAACACTTTGAAGGATTCATCACAGATTTAACAATAAATAAATAAGAAAAGAGACAAAGCAAATAGTGTGAAATGTGAATACCCAATTGCCCAATTAAAGAGATCATTTAGGTAGGGCAAGTAGAGAATGAGGCTAGATTTCTCAACTAGTGGCAAAAATCTAAGAAACAGTTGTCAAAAAACGTAATTCACTATGATTTCAGAACTTAACTTACTAGATAATCTAACTTTCAGTTTATCAAATGACACTAAATTTTTAAGGAACTTTATGGAATGAATGTCATAAATTCTTTCCATGGAAGCTGTCAATATCTAAAGAGCCAAACCCATTTATGCAGCATATAAAAAGACTGCAGCTGCCTAGCTTTAATTTTTTACCATTTTTTGTCGCTGATTCAGGGCTTCGAGTTTATGTCTTTCATATTCATTTTTCCTTCCCTCTTTCTTGAGCTGTTAAAGAGATATGAAAATAAAAAATTTTAAGTAAAGTCGTAAAGAACTAGATGCATATAAGGAAGTAACTTAAGATACAAATTTACATACTAATGAACATTAAATGTGCTCAGCCCAAAGAGAAACCATTAAATGTGCAAACTGCTTTCGAAAAACAGAGTCCATGATAAAATGATGCAAATTAAAATGTTGAACAGAACAAATTGGAGGAAGATGCATGGTGCACATGGACTTCAATCAAATCTTAACACTAAATGAGAAGTTAACGCACACCTCTCACTGGAACCTTGTGACTCTGTTCAAAACATAAATGAAGCAACTACATTTTTAAGTAGCAAGCTTATTGCCATTCCAAGATATGAGCATAGATGGGAGAGAGGGCTGCTAAATAAGATAATTTTATTTGTGGAAAGTGAAAAACCTGCAATAGTTCCTTCTCACGAGAGGCCCTCCATTGTCGAAATTGTTCAGCTTCTTGTTTTATCTTATTCTGCAACTGAACCTACAGAATACATTTCCCCAAATCTTTAGATATATTACAGTTTATTGTTCAGATATAAACCTGGTAAAGAACACAAAAAGAAACCAACTTTCTGAGCCTTAATGTACTGTATTTCAGCTTGCAATCGTTTTGCTGCTTCATCACTTCTTTGCTTTTGCTTCAAGAGTTCAACCTGACTTTCTTGTTTCTTTTTAAGATCTGATATCTAAATATGAAAAGAAGAAGAAGAAGAAGGTAATCAACAAGTGCGTTGATTAGTTCATGAAAATACAATGATGATTAGCTACATCATAAGTCACCTGTGCCTCAAGTGCTTTTAATTTCTGTGCATTGACTTCTTGCATTTTCTGCATCTGTCCATCAGAATTAGCAGCAAGGTTTTCCACTTCTGCTAACAAATGATCCCTCTCTTGCTGTAGTTGTGGTATAAAACACTAGCTGTTAAAGCAAAGACAAAGAAATCAATGAAAACTGAGGCATTTCTATTCACCTGCACTATTCTTTTCTCTTCTTCAAGTTCCATTATTTTCTTCCCAAAGTGCTGTTTTAATGCTTCAGTATCAGCTCCTCCAAAAAGTTTCATCTCAGACTGCATAAAATGTAAGGGTCTTAGTCTATAGGAATACTTACTGAACAAATAAATTTAGGTTATGTCCAAAACTCAAATACAAATGATATTCATCTTCTAAGAAAATGTTCTCTTTCAGCAAAAGAAATCAGAAAAGTAATTGATTGGGGATTCATGCTCAATCATTTTCCAGAGAGTTCTGACAACTAAACAGAAGTAACATAAAAATGCTCCTAGGAAGGATGCAAGTACTGATATAACACAGGTTCAAGGATTCTGGAGTTTGTTATCCTGTTTGAACCTTTTGCAGAGAGCTGTTACAGGTCATGCTAAAAGAATACAAAATTCCTAAGAAGCAATCTGTTTAGATATGCTGGTGGCATGACATAACAAATGCTATTTCAGGAATCAGGCCTACTAATCAACAATAGTAATTTGTGACTGTGCAGATAAAAAAAGGTGACAAAAAATGAAACCTCTTTCTGCTCCAGGCGTTTGTTTAACTCAGTCAATTCTTTTCCCATGGTATTCTGCCGAAGTGCATGCTCCCACTCTTTTGCTACTTCATCAATTTCTCCAGAATTTTCAGCTGTAAAGATTGGCAATTTAAGCAAAAAGGTGTCATATATGAAGATAACATGTTTCGTGAAGTGATATTACTC